ATTCCAACAGCTGAGAAACAAGTTTGTGAGTGCCAAGAAGAGCAAGGTCCTAGTGAGGTGATTGAGATTTGAGAAACCCAAAGAGAGCCCTCATTAGTGAGATCAAGAGTAGTAAAGTGTGCATCCATCCTTCTCCCTAGGCTTGTCGTGGTCAAGTGAGAGTTTGTGCTTGTTACTTTTGGTGATCGCCATCACCTAGACGGCTTGGTGGTGATTGGAGAGCTTTGTGATCATCCGGAGAGCTTGTGGATGACCCAACTCAAGTTGTGAGCGGTTGTGGGTGATTCACCACGACGGAGTATCGAAGAATCAACCCGTAGAGAGCACTTGATCCTTGCGTGGATCAAGGGGGAACTACACCCTTGCGCGGGTGCTCCAACGAGGACTAGTGGGGAGTGGCGACTCTCCGATACCTCGGCAAAACATCGCCGCGTTTCCTCTCCTCTCTTTACTTTGAGCATTATTTTGAGCAATTCAATTCTTGTCATTTACATTCCTAGAATTGCCATGCTAGAGTAGGATTGGAACTTAGGTTGCAAGTCTATTTGTGCGATAGAACATTAGAAACACTTTCTAGGCACAAGAGGTTAATTGGGCTATCAATAGGATTTAATTATTGCAAGAAAATTTAGAATTAGCCCAATTCACCCCCCCCCTCTTGGGCATCTTGATCCTTTCAATAGCCTTCCAACACTTTTGGATGTCCGGTATAACGAATACCGTAGCTCATAGTGCCCTTTAAATAGCGCATTACTCTCTCAAGAGCACGCCAGTGGTCATCTCCTAGATTTGACACAAACCAGCTCAGCTTGCACACAACAAAAGAGATGTCAGGCCTTGTTGCACTAGCAAGATACATGAGCGAACCAATGATCTAGGAATATCTCAACTGATCCCTTGCTATTCTCCGATTTTTCCTTAATAGCACACTAGGGTCATAGAGTGTAGGAGCAGGTACACAATCACTAAACCCAAAACGACTCAGCACCTTTTTCCATATAGTGGGATTGTAACAGAGTTATCCCACCATCACCTTCTCTTAGAAGCTTGATATTAAGAATAACATCAGTCTCTCCCAAATCTTTTATCTCAAAATTATTAGTTAAAAATTCCTTTACCTCCTCGATCACTTTGAGGCTGGATCCAAAGATCAGTATGTCATCAACATATAAGCATAAAATGACTCCTTCACCCCCACCATACTGATAGTACACACATTTGTCAGCTTCATTCACGACAAAGCCATCAGATGTCAAAGTTCTATCGAACTTCTCATGCCATTGCTTAGGAGCTTGTTTTAGGCCATATAATGACTTTAATAACTTACACACCTTGCCTTCTTGACCATTTGCTACAAACCCATCCGACTGATCCATATAGATCTCCTCCTCCAACTCTCCGTTTAGAAAAGCTGTCTTAACATCCATTTGATGAACTCGAATTATGGTCAATCGGGCAACCGGTGAATAAGTATCAAATAAATCCTCACCTTCCTTTTGAGTATAGCCCTTGGCCACAAGCCTTGCCTTATACCTCTCGATAGTACCATCAGGCCTAAGCTTTTTCTTGAACACCCATTTGCACCCATAGGGACGATCAACAATTTCTCAAGTTTCATTAGACATAACAGAATCAATCTCACTCCGTACTGCTTCCTTTCATAAGTCAGCATCAGGAGAGGAATATGCCTCTTCAATGGTCGTTGGTGTGTCATCCACAAGGTACACAATATAGTCATCACCAAAAGACTTTGCAGTCCTCTATCTCTTACTTTTTCTTGTGACTATAGTGTCATCCTCCTTAGAATTTTGCATATAGGGTTCCTCAGTTTGCTCTATCGAAATAAAATTTTCATGCTCATGGGGAATTATAAATTCATGACTAGTCGTGCTAGGTGCATTTTTCATGGGAAACTCATTCTAAAAAAATGTAGCGTCTCTAGATTCCATGATTGTATCAACAGTCATCTCAGGAACACTAGAGTTTATGATTAAAAATCTATAACCCATGCTGTGAATAGCATAACCAAGAAAGACACAATCAATAGTCTTTGGTCCAAGCTTTCGCTTTTTATTTATTGGCACATTCACCTTGGCCAAACAACCCCAAGTTCGCAGATAAGAGAGATTTAATCTCTTCTTCCATTCCTCTAATGGTGTAATTTCTTTATTCTTTGTGGGTACTCTATTCAGGACATGACATGCTGTCAATATAGCCTCACCCCACCATTCTTTAGATAGTCCCATAGTCTCTAACATGGCATTTACCAAATCAATTAGAGTGCGGTTCTTTCTCTCTGCAATCCCATTGGACCATGGTGAGTATGGCGACGTCCTCTCATGAATAATTCCATGCACCGCGCAAAACTCAAAAAATTCATTTGAGAAATATTCTCCCCCGCGATCGGACCGCAAACGCTTGATTTTCTTCTCAAGTTGATTTTCTACCTCAGCTTTATAGACTTTAAAACAATGCAACGCTTCATCTTTAGTTTTTAATAAATACACGTAGCAAAATCTAGTACACTCATCTATAAATGTCATGAAGTATCGTCTACCGTCTTTAGTCAATTCGCCATTCATTTCACATAAATCATAATGAACAAGTTCTAATGGTGTCAAGTTCCTCGCCTCAGCAGCCTTATGAGGCTTGCGCGGTTGCTTCGATTGCACACACACCTGGCACATAGAATCTTTGACTAAGTTAAATTTCATGATTAAATTTAGATTTGCAAGCCGCGTGAGACAACCAAAATTAATGTGACAAAGTCGTGAATGCCATATATTCGACTCATCTGAAACATTAACATTGTTCACCACTTTATTACACACATCATCAAGCAAAGATAAGCGGAACAAACCTCCGCAATCATAATCTTTTTCCAACAAATATTCCATGTCTCGACACAACACATTTATTGGAGTCAAGCACAATTTTAAAGCCATCGCGACACATCTGAGAAGCGCTAACAAGATTCTTCTTGATGGAGGGGACATGCTGCATGTTCTTTAATAGCACCGTCTTTCCCGAAGTAAACTTCAGAACGACCGTACCAGCACCAAGAACACGCGCATGCGAACCATTTTCCATCAGCAAGGCTCCAGTCCTACCGACCTGATAGGAAGTAAACAAAGAAACAACAGTACACACGTGAATATTAGCACCGCTGTCCATCCACCACTCTGGTGAAAGACAAACTAAGAACAAAAGGTAAAGAATTACCATACCCAGATGTTCCTCCTCCAGTCTCGCTAATTATCACGTTTGCTGATTTCTTTTCTTGCTTATATTTACGGTCTGGGCACGCACTTGCCCAATGCTCATCACTCCTGCAAACAAAGCAACCTCTACCTTTCTTGTTATTTTTCTTCTTGAACTGTGCAGTTTGCTTAGGCTTTGTATTGTTGTTCTCTTGCATGTTCTTCTTCTTTTTATTACGAGATGCAAATGAGTTTTTCTTCTGCACCATATTGGCAACGGAAGACTCAACTCCTTTTCCACGGTTGTCTTTTGCTCTCGCCCTCTCCTCGACATCAAGAGATCCAATAAGCTCAGCCATGCTAAACTCTTGTCTCTTGTGTTTTAGAGAAGTAGCAAAATCCCTCCAAGAAGGTGGCAACTTAGCGATAATACCACCGGCCACAAACTTGTCGGGCAACAAACATGGGATATGTTCTAGTTCCTTTGCTAGCGCCTGTATCTCATGAGCTTGTTCGACCACAGAACGGTTTTCAACCATTTTGTAGTCATACAGCTGCTCCATAAGGTACAGCTCACTGCCAGCATCAGAAGCTCCAAACTTTGCCTCAAGAGCATCCCATAACTCTTTGCCTGATGTGTAAGATATATAGTTTTTCTCATACTTGGGATGAAGTACACTGATCACGGCGCCTCGAAACAGGTTATCGGCAGTCAAAAACTTTTTCTCCTCCTTAGGAGTAAACTGTTCAGGCTTCCCCTGTGCGGCGTGATAGCAGTTCATCGCAGTCAACCACAATACCATCTTGGCACGTTATATCATGAAATTCTTGCCATCAAAATTATTTGGCTTCAAAGCAGCAGCAAAATCACTGACAGAAAATTACCTAATATTAGGTTTTTGGATTGTTAGAAATTTAGGCATTTTCATTATCAGTTTAATCCAGAAAAGTAACATCAGCAGGTTCGTGACGGCATATATGTGCATGTGTATATCTCTAACGAACGCTACAACATGCAGAGATAACATACAGATAGATACAGTAAAAGCACAGATTACAGTAATCAGAAAGATTAGACTGTACCCAGCGGAGGGTCCCATGCCGAGGGCATCGGAGGCTCCATTCCACTAGTCGACATAGTGCGTTGCTCGAAGTCGCGGACTACAGTCGGTGCAGGACGATGTTCGTAGTGCAGTCCCACGAACGGATCACCAGGAAGAAGACGTACGTGAACGAGCAGTCGCGGATCGCTCCCCAAAAACCTAATCGCCGCACACCCCGTGCAAGGTTCTTAAACGGGCGAGGGTTCCGGAGGCACCTGCTCTCCCGCTGCTCCGTACGCGCAGAGGTACGGGACGGGGAAGCCAGAAGGCTGCTGAGATGTGGTTTCTCTCGGGAGTGGTTGCGGAAGACAGAGATCTGCGGATATATGACTGCGACAGGAAGGGAGAGCGGAGCGGAGAATCCCAGAAGACGGAGAAACGGAAGCGGAAAGGACGGTAACTGCGCCACGCCCCGCCACGGCCCGGCCGGCGGCGGCGGCAACGCGCGCGCGTGTATCACGCCTTTATCCTTTTCTCAGCTTCTCAATTTAGATGAATAATTTTCAACCATATAAGCTGAGTCAACGTTAAGTCAAAATCCCATATGGTATTAAACCATACAATGCTTAATGTTATGTACCATAAAATTTTATTTAATTTATTAAATGTTATATGGGCCAAGCCCATATTATATCAACAAAGCTTGTATCAGTGTATGACTTGCGTGCCGTTCTTGGATTGCATTGTTGCGTGGCAGGTGCTCCGATGAGGTGAACCCAAGGAAAGCGCCGTACAAGATATCCAACCAGCGGCTGAGGGAGCTAGGCCTGGAGTTCACTCCGGCGGCGCAGGCCCTCTACGAGACAGTCATATGCTTTCAGGACAAGGGCGTCCTCCCCGTCTCTGCTGGCCCGTCGTCTCTGTAGATCAATTGAGGTGATATGTCCAGCAACAACGACGATGACTACACTGTTGCTCCACTAAATAAGCAATAACTGAAGCTGTTTTAGCTATAGCTAGAGAGTTATACCAAACAGACTATATCATAGCATGTAGCATGCATACTGGTACTAGTATATATTTCAGTGGATTATGTGGTGTGTCAAACTGTGTACGTAGGTGTGGTGTCTGGCAGCATGCGTAAAGAACAATTTTGTGCATATATACCTAATTAATATATCGATGAAGTATATGTAATAGTGAACGCAAAAAAAAAACGACCAGCAGTGTGAACTTTTATTTGATTAGCTAAATTTTGTTTCACAATATTAAATGAAATTATAATGTGTGTTTACACTAGTTGAATTTCCTGGCCTTTTGTTCGCGTTAGGGCACTCACGATGCAGAAACTATCATAGTTTCTATGTGCATTAATTATCCTGTCACCTAAGCATTTTCCTGATGTGGCAAGCGATTTATTGAGGAAAGATTTTGAGAATGGTTTCTTAATAAGAAACCATGTCTCGCATTTGAGAATCAAGATATGAAGAAATATATGGCCATGTTCGCTTGAACTTATCAAATTGCATCTGCTTTCAAATGAAATAACGTTGTTTTTCTCTCACAACAAATCAAGATCAACCATTTTTTTAGCCAGCCAAACAGGGCCCATAGGTAGATGAGGAGAGAGAGAGATGTGCGATTGGGCAAAAGATTATTCTCAGAGAAAATATCCATTGAAAACGTAGTTTCTATATGTAGTGTCTACATGCATAGAAACTATACATGGTTTTTAGCATTGGGTATGCCCTTATAAAACAAAAGCTATATATATATAGGTCAGATAAAAACATGTTTAGATATAAAGGATTATTTTGGCCCAAGTATATTTATTTTTATATGATCGTAGGTAGCAGCAAAAAGCTATACACACCATGTAGTGCGTTATGACCGTCCGAGCCTAGAATTCGAGGTATACAATCATGTAGTTGCTCTCCACGTTTACCACGCGCGCTGAGTCAAGGATCACGGTAGTCGTTTATCATCCGGTCTGATTTCATTTTAGCGGAAAAGGTGGTACTAAACAGAAATCATCGCCTACTCCGTTGTGCACATTTGGTCCACTCGGGGCCTCGGGCCCAATCATTAGGTGCAGGCTGTTGCGTTGCGCCGGATCAACTTCTCAAGTTGTCTTCCCTTTTGGAGGAGGGTCCTCTTTTATAGCCCAGCACGGCGATGGCCCATGGTCATTTCGTTGTTGGGCCTTTGTGGCCCCGAGCTCATGACGCGTCGCGGTGGGACGAGGAAAGGAATCCTTCCGGCGCAGGCCCGACCTATTGAACAGGGAGACCAGCGCGGCGTCTGACCACGCCGGCATTCACGCCGCACCACCAGCTCCATGTTGCTGCGCCGCTGACGGCGGTGGGCGCCGGTGGCCAAGCACGTCAGCACGTTTTCACGGGAGAAATCTATCAAGGATTCATCCATAATCTACCATACCTTATAGTACGCCAGTTAGAATAAATCTACAGCTACACAATAAATATCTGCTCCATAGTCATGACCTATGCTACATCCACACCCATGAATACACCCAGAAAATATAACACCATCAAAATGGATGCACCAAATTATCTCTTAGTCATTCTCTCTCATTACTCATCCAAATCCGACGGCTCATGTTTAATGTATCTGCCCTCCGTCATCCTCCCGCGGACCTCCCACGCGCATGCGCAGGCTCGCGTTGATTTCGGTTGCCCCATCCACGATCATCACTCTCCCACGCCCACGCCTAGCAGCCACAGTTGGATGTTCATATTCTCTTTTTTTCCGTCTATTCTTCACTCGAGTGTGTGGAGAGAAACTGATCCGACCGCCGGCGGCGTGACGGTGCCGCGACAGGGAAGCGGCGGCAAGGAGCGGGCCGTCTCTGCGCTAGGCGAGGCCGCGGCGGGGCGCGCGGTGACCTGGGTGCCGCTGGCTGGCGATGCGCGAAGCTAGACGGGGCCTGCCGCGGCGAAGCTTTTGCACTCCCCAGCGTCAGGTTCGGGACGTCGTCGGCCAGGTAAATCTGCCCGCAGGAACGGTGGTCGTGGCGGTGGTGATCCAAGGCCTGAGCCCCTGGCGGCGCCGTGGCTAGGCCTGTGCCCACGGCGGCCTGCGCCCACGGCGGACCCTGGCGGCGGTGACATGGCCAGGCCCACGCGCACGGCGGACCATGGCGGCGGTTCAGCTCCATCCGTAGTCCACCCCTGCGCTCCAACGTGACGTGGCTCCGCAGATCAAGCACAGTCACGCAGCTCGTCACTGGCACCAACAGGCAGGCATGTGCATCTCTCATGCTCCTTCTGTAACAGAACCGACCAAATCATAAGAACATAAGTACAAAAACAATCACCGAAGTGATCAAATTCCTGTACTTAAGCTCCCATAATCCCGGTAGTCCAGAAATCACGAAGGATTTCAACCAACTCTCGACATACAAACCAAGACCGTAGTGATTCAACACAACACATCATTCGTTACAACATTTCTTCTTCTTCTTCTTCTGATTCTTCTTCTGAGGTGTACCCCTTGCGGAAACCAGTTTTTACCTGATTCTTCTTCTGAGGTGGGCGGTACCGAACATTAGCATTGGGTGGACAGTACTGGGTCTTGGATACCACTGGTGCCTTAGACTGAGAAGCACCTGCCTCAAAGTTTCTTTTACGGGTCTTGCAAGCAGCATATACCTTATCATTATTCTCTTGAGTCAGGGTGTCACTAATAAACTCATTGAAGGTGACACACTTACAGTTGCCCATAGACTTCATCAGTTTAGGGGAAAGTCCCCTCTTGAAGCTAGCTATCTTCTTAGCATCAGTATCAACGAACTCAGGAGCATACCTCGCCAGGTTGTTAAATGTCTGGAGGTATTCAGTAAGACTCTTGTTGCCTTGAGTTAGCTTCATAAACTCGGTATGCTTAATGGCCATGAGACCAGGAGGGATAAAATGTCCCCTGAAAGCTGCCTGAAACTGGTCCCAAACTATATCGACGTTTGCAGGGAAGGTGGTCCTGTGATGGGTCCACCAGATGCCTGCAGGGCCTTGGAGCTGGTGTCCTGCATACGAGGCCTTCATACCTTCTGTCAATTGGAGCAATCCAAACCTTTGCTCTATCGTACTCAACCATTCATCAGCTTGTAATGGTTCTTCTGCCTCTCTAAAGATAGGAGGCTTTGTGTCCATGAAGTCCTTAAAGCTGCTATACTGGTTCGGCTCGGGTCCTTGGCGGACATGTCGATCCTCGCGGTTAGCCATATGGCACATAGCTCAGCTAGCATGCGCTGACTTTCAACAACTGTCTGCATTAGCTTAGCTGGTGTGGGTGGTGGAGGAGGTGATTGTTCCTCATCTCCCATGCTACGACCGTGACGAAGGTTATAAGCCATCTACAAAATGTATAGCCAATGAGTACTGACGATGTGGAAATTTTTGTGGATGAATTGTATAATTATGCCAAACTGAGTCCATTGGAGAGAATGCATTTATATAATCAACAGAGGCACAATCATTCATCACAACCATACAACTCATCAAGCGCATCAATTGACACATAAATGCGATGAACTTAACCAACAACGAGATCTATAGACCACAAAGACGGAATTTAACAAAGGCTCACATACATGGAGCATAACACGTTTGATAGGTTACATCCAAGCCATAGTGGTTCCAAACTTACATCCAAAATAACATAGGGTCCGACATTACATCCCAACGATTAACTTATTACAAAGCTACTCGTTCATGCATGAGGATCAACAAAAGACTAGCTCTAGCGCATTAGCTAAGTAGTAAGCTAAACTACGCATCATCCTCGGAGTCAGTGTCGAAGATCTCTCCTCCATCTTCATCACTAGCAGGCTCTAACTCCTCATCTTCCTCCTCTTCAGGTGGAACGTTCTTAGGTCCATTAATCTCAGTGTCATCATCATCTTCAGCCATGATGACACCAGAGCCCATCTCATCCTCATCATCAGGGGGCAGGAGAGGGTGAAGCTGATTATGTAACAGGTGAACCTCCTCATGGAGATGGTCAGTGTACTCTTCAGCAACTGCCAATTGCTGCTCTAGCTCAACCTGTCGCGCTCTCAACACATCCTCTTCGTGCCAGGCTTCATTCCGTTGGTTCAGCATGTGAATCAACATACGTTCACAGTTGCGGTGAGCAACTGTCAACCTCTGAACCTCCAGGGTCTCTTGATCCCGTTCCTGTGTTACTTGCTCCAAACGGTGTTGAGCCGCATTCCTCTCAGCAGTCACCCGGGCCAGCTCTGCCCTCAGCCTTTCTGCCTCAGTAGGCTTCGGACGGGGCTCACGAGGAGCTAACCGGTGACGAGGCACCCAGCCTCCAGCGGACTTGCGAGCAGTGAGTTTTGTGCGCGCCATCTGTAGCAAAAAGTTGCAACGTAAGGGGAGAATCATTTAAGGGATACAAAATTTAATTAGTCGAGACCATCAAATTTTTAAAGGAGGGAGTAATGCAAGAAATGCCATGTATGCTTGAACATGATGCATGCACGATCCGTACGTCCTCACAAACCTAGAAAAATTTAAAGGCTAGCGAAATATACGGTGGCATACATATGTTCTCTCATATACGGTAGCTAGTCGATCTACAACGATACGTTGTTAGTGTACCTACAGAAAACTTCATTTCAGCCCAATAATTTCCCAAAAAGGCATGTAAAGTAAGCAGTAAACTAAATACTTTCATACATACACCCCCCGATGCATATACTCTAGTATCACAGCTACGGCGTCTCAGCCCTAATGGCCCACTCTACGAGCTTCAGCGTCACACACAGCAGCAAGCGCAAGGGAGAGAAGGGACGGTAAGGGGCTTAAGCAGCACGGCCACGTGCGAGCTCGGCCGGCGGTGGTCATGGTGACCCGGTGGAGCCGCGCTCATGGTGAGCTCTACCTGAGGTGAAAATGGAATG